GATAGTCAAATATCGAAACTACAATGTAAATAATTGATTTAAATTTAATCTACTTTTACAATTTTGATTTTAGTTAAGAAAATAACTTAAAATAGTTAATATTTATAGATTATGATATGCTTTTGAACGCATTATATTATTACCATTTAATCTTAGTAAAATAAACTTTCTTTCGATACAATGATAAATCCAAATTAAACGGATATTTAATTTGGAATTCGTATTTATATTTGCAATTGATAGGTGTGTCAAATTGTTGTTGATAAAGTTGCAACCACAATCATTTGAGTGTGATTAAATTTATTACTAAAAACAATACATGAGTGGAAGGAAAAAGAGAAGACGATCAAACTACAGTATGTGTAAAATGTTATGGTAATGTAAAAATTGAAAGGAACGATTATTTACGTGACTAGAATTATATGTCAGAATGAAATAATTTGCAATAGGTGTTCGGTTGCAGATAATAAACGTATTTACTGACGATGAAGACATTTGTTCTGTTCAACGTTGTGTGCTGTATCATACTTGGATATTGTTTATTGTCGAATGAACAGGAAATTTTTATATGAAATGTTATTTTTTAAGAAATAAGATAACGTCTTATTATTTATTTATTTTTTCAAAAAATTATATTCTAATATTATTTCAAATTARATTTGCGCATTAGTTATAACTAATCTACGTATATCTATTTCGTATATTTAGTAAGTATCTACACCTAGTTCACTTAGGTACGCTACAGAAATTATTTAAAAAATCTCAAAATAGGTATTTTTGATTTYAACACACTATTAAATTATTATTATAGATAATAATTAAAAAATACATCGAATTTCATTTATGCTGTCTATCTGTAACATTTGTGGATACATCGAACTCGTATAACAATAATTTACAAATTAATATTGTTCATCAATGACATTTATGAGTTTTTCATCATTTACCTGTACAGAATCATTACACTGCACTACTTAGTCTTAGAATATACTATAATATTTTCACGTCATATATAAACTATGTTAATATTAGATGGGTATAACTCAATTCATTTTGGTTTTAGGTACCTATCTCAGTTGTTTCAATAGTTAAAAGATTATAAAATATATTATCACTAAGACATATATTTGTTTTCAAAATTATTTAGGATTTTTAAGTTTAATATTTTAAATACTGAACAATTTTAAAATATAAACACACTGACCAGCTACATGTGGATCCTTGGGATTAGGAGCTGTTTCGACGTAAATGCGTACATGGCCGATACTTGAGCCTTTTGCGTTTCTCGCGTAGACTGTGGTCACGTATCGGGTGGATGGTCGCAATCCGGTAATTATGACAGCCATATTACCAGTTTGGCCAACGTATCTGGTTTCGGCCAAATCCGGTCGGTCGATTGTGGCCACTGTGCACGCAAAATGCTGCGGAAGTCCACCACCGTATCCGGGTTCGCACTGAATTGTAAACCGAGTACTCGTTACGTTTACTGGCAAACAGTTTCTTGGTGGATCTGGCCTACCTGTGAACATAAAGTCGCTCTATTTAGCACTAAAACTAATTCATTCAATCCTATTATGATTCACCCTAACATTGAGTTCAATTTGTCATTTATGGTGTTAATWACAGGGTAATTTGTAAATTATTAAAACAAGCAGGTCTGGGATAAAGAGTAAAATAAAGAATAATAGTAAAAAATAAATCAGCAGAGACGATCATGATATTCGGTTCAATGTAGTAATACAGAAAAGCAGCTTTTAAAAAAAAACCTTTAAGAAGTAGATTGTTTAATATAGTATAAACAAAAATTATTATTGTTTAAACTAAAAATCTACCATAATTTATCATTACAATGTTATATAGTTAAATTAATATTACTTACAATATAGAATACGATCAAGACTACATTTTCGTACGGGCAACAGTACATTTTATAAATAGATCTTAGTCACGAATAAATTCATCACTTCCACCCGCTATATTTT